TTTTCAAAACTATTTTATAATATAAAATTCAAAAATACTTCAGTGATTTATCACAACTTTTTGTGATTAATCACAAGATTTTAAACATTTGTATAGTGATTAATCACAAAAAGTTGTGATTAATCACAAAAAGTTTAAGTGATTATCACAAGTGTCAGTCGGTCAAATCACAACTTCATTGAAGTCATATTGACGTATGAAGTATTATTATATCGCAAAAAAATCTTTGCTTCATTTTGATGGCTGTGATATTGTGATATTGACATTTTGACAGTCAGTCAATGTCTGTCAGTCAGTCAGTCAATCGAGTTGGGCGTGCAATTTGCCCATCTCTGCTTCACATCTATCAACTATTTCTCTTAATCACATACAAATATGAATGTAACCTTCTTTTCCGAATGATGGAAAGCTTACTTTTCTCCATGACTTTGATTTATATGCTTTTTTAATCCTGTTTTATAGATGTAGTTTTTCTCACATAAGTTGCATTTATATTTTTTTGTTTTAGACTTCATGCAATTATGAGATTTCAAGTATTGTTCCAATTTGAATGTCTTTCGGCATGATGTACATGGAAACTTTCTTTCTTCATGATATTTTGACACATGCATTCGTAACCCAGCTTTGTTATAGTAAGAAGTTTTACAAATATCGCAACGATAATCTCTTGTTCTATATTTTCTGTGCGTATCTATATGGTTAGTAAGTTTAGATCGACTGTAGAATCTTTTATNAAGAAAATCTTAATATTAAAATATTTATAATTTATTTAACTTTTGCTATTCGGCTTCCTAACTCAATAAATTGATTCTAATAAATTTTCTAATATATTAACAGTTTTGTCCACATCTTAATATTTTCCAGGAATTTTTTTGTGAATTTTCCCACAACTTTTTTATCAAAGTCTTCACATCTATCAACTATTTCTCTTAATCACATACAAATATGAATGTAACCTTCTTTTCCGAATGATGGAAAGCTTACTTTTCTCCATGACTTTGATTTATATGCTTTTTTAATCCTGTTTTATAGATTTAGGTAGTTTTTCTCACATAAGTGGCATTTATATTTTTTTGTTTTAGACTTCATGCACCTGTGTTTAATAAATTTGAATCGGTCGTGGAATATTTTACCACAAATATCGCAAACAAATGTAGAACTAGATACTGCAATTATGAGATTTCAAGTAATGTTCCAATTTGAATGTCTTTCGGCATGATGTACATGAAAACTTTCTTTCTTCATGATATTTTGACACATGAGTTTGTAACCCAGCTTTGTTATAGTAAGAAGTTTTACAAATATCGCAATGATAATCTCTTGTTCTATATTTTCTGTGCATATCTATATGGTTAGTAAGTTTAGATCGACTGTAGAATCTTTTATCACAAGCATCACAAACAAATGTGGTACTGCAAACATGAGATTTCAATGATCGTTCCAACGTGAATGATTTTCGGCATGATGCACATGAAAACTTTCTTTCTTCGTGAAATTCTGATACATGTCTGTGTAACCCAAATTTATTAAAGAAAGAAGTTTTACAAATATCGCAATGATAGTCTTTTGTTCTATATTTTCTGTGCGTGTCTATATGTCTAGCAAGACTGTTTCGGTTGTGGCTTCTTTTACCACAAATATCGCAAACAAATTTGAAATAACAACAATCATGAGATTTTAGACTTTCTTCTGACATGAAAACTTGCTTACATGATGTGCAGCAAAATTTTGTATCGTCATGAATTTTAATTATATGACGTTGCAATGTGACTTTATGGAGGTAAGAAGATTTACAAATGTGACATTGAAAATCTTTTGATCTATGTTTTTTATGCTTATTCATATGCAAAGCAACGTTAATTTTTTTTTGAATTCTTTTACCACAAAAGTCACAAACAAATGTGGAATTACCACAAATATGAGATTTAAGCTTTCGTTCTGACTTGAAAGCTTTTTTGCAAAAATAGCAGAAAAACTTTTTATTTTCATGACTTTGAAATAGATGTAGATTTAATGATTGCTTACGAGTATAGGAATTTTCACAAATGAAACACTGATAGTCTCTTGTCTTATATTTCCTATGCTTGATCATGTGATTGATGACTTCCCCTCGACGATGGAAACTTTTACCACAAATATCGCAGACAAATGTGGAATTACTACAATTATGAGATTTCAAGTTTTTTTCGAACATGAATATCTTTCTACACGATGCACATGAAAACTTTCTTTCTTCATGATATCTTGATATATGTAATCGAAACCCAGCTTGGTTATAGTAAGAAGTTTTACAAATATCGCAATGATAGTCTCTTGTTCTATATTTTCTGTGCGTGTCTATATGTTCAGTAAGACTGTGTCGGTTGTTGAATCTTTTACCACAAATATCGCAAACAAATTTGGGAATACTACAAATGTGAGATTTCAATTTTCGTTCCAATTTGAATGTTTTTCTACATGATACACATGAAAATTTTCTTTCTTCGTGATATTTTGATCTATGTAATCGAAACCCAGCTTGATTATAGAAAGAAGTTTTACAGATATCGCAATGATAATCTTTTGTTCTATATTTTCTGTGCGTTTCTATGTGAGCAGCAAGACAGTATCGGTTGTTGAATCTTTTACCACAAATATCGCAAACAAATTTGAAATAACAACAATCATGAGCTTTAAGACTTTCTTCTGACATGAAAACTTGTTTACATGATGTGCAGCAAATTTTTTTATCGTCATGAATTTTAATTATATGATGTTGTAATGTGACCTTATGGAGGTAAGAAGATTTACAAATGTGACATTGAAAATCTTTTGATCTATGTTTTCTATGCCTATTCATATGCAAAGCAACGTTAATTTTTTTTTGAATTCTTTTACCACAAAAGTCACAAACAAATGTGTATTTACCACAATTATGAGATTTAAGCTTTCGTTCTGACTTGAAAGCTTTTTTGCATAAATAGCAGAAAAACTTTTTAATTTCATGACATTGAAATAGATGTGAATTTAATGATTTCTTACGAGGATAGGAATTTTCACAAATGAAACACTGATAGTCTCTTGTCTTATATTTCCTATGCTTGATCATGTGATCGAAGACTTCCCCTCGACGATGGAAACTTTTACCACAAATATCGCAGACAAATGTGGAATTATTGCACACATGAGATTTCAATGTTCGTTCCAACTTGAATGTCTTTCTACACGATACACATGAAAACTTTCTTTCTTCATGACATCTTGATATATGTAATCGAAACCCAGCTTTGTTATAGTAAGAAGTTTTACAAATATCGCAATGATAGTCTCTTGTTCTATATTTTCTGTGCGTGTCTATATGTTCAGTAAGACTGTGTCGGTTGTTGAATCTTTTACCACATGTATCGCAAACAAATTTGGAATAAGAACAAAAATGAACTTTCAGGTTTCGTTCAGACTGGAATGGTCTTTTGCATGATGTGCATGAAATTTTTTTTCTATCTTCACGACAGTTATATATGTGACTGTTTAATTTTTTCTTATGGTAGAAATTTTTTTTACAAATTTGACATTGAAAATTCTTTGATTTATGTTCTTTACGCTTATTCGTAGGCAAAGCAGCTCCATATCGACTGTTTGAATGTTCTCTCCTGCAATGCCGCTGGACTCCAACAACATTTTTAAATTTCTTTCCACAAACATCGCAAGGAAAAAGCTGTTGACTTTTCTTATTAATAACTTGGGACTTGAGAATTTGATTTTCATCTTCCAGTTGACAAGTTGCTTCTTCAACTTCAATTTTGATCGAATTCTCGTGTATGCTCGCAAGTCTCTCATCAGTGTCGTCAATTTTCATACTTCTGAACTTTTCATAACACTTTTGTTTTCCCTTCATTTGTACCCTGAACTGATAAAGAATATTTAAATTGTTTTCACATTTTGAGCACACAAATTCTGATCCTGTTCCATCTAATGACATGTTAACTTGAAAGACATCATGCATCCTGCTTATCATATCATTTGTAAGATATATTTTTGGCTCCTGATTGTATACTTCCTTGAAACATAAACGGCATTTCTGATGAATGTTTTTGAAGTCAGAGAAAATATCTTCAAGGACGACTTTGACATTCAAATCTCGTTTTCTCAAACTTTTCATGTTGCTTCTTAGCAAGTCTAGTTAAGATATTAAAAATTTGTATCAGGTTGATTGAAGATTCGCGTTGAAGGGATTTGATTTTGTATTTTCAACTTTATTACTGTAGGAAAAACGATAAATTTCAAAAAAAGGTAACAAATTTCTATAACTTTAAAACGAACCTTTTTCCGATTATATTTCTTCAACTGTGAATGCTTATATGTAAGCTAAACGTATTCAGAAGCTTTTAAAACATGAATTAACAAATTTTCACTTTTAAATCTTTACAGAATTTAATAAACTGTTGGAAATTAAAAAACTGGTTTAACTTTCATGAGAAATTACATGTAAACTAACAACTGCGACCTCTAACGTGTTAGGTAATAAGTACAAAGTTTCAAATCATGGACACACCAACGAGAACTTTCCTATTTAAGCTTCTTTATAATGTCTTACTGTCGTTATATGCCGTATCAAAAGAATGTATTCTCGCTATTTCCATGGCCAAATTTACAATGCACCTTATAAATTTTTCTTCTCGAAAATTGAATTTTTGAACGCACTTTTTTTTAAAAAAAACCTTAAATGAGGTTTTTTACGACAGTCCCATTCAATTATAAAAAGCTATATTTTTGGGTCAATTTGTATGGCAGCTACCTGAAATCTTAAATCTTGATAGGCCATGTTTTCTCGACGGTTCATGCTTTTTAAATTGTTTTTTCAGTAATATCAATAGGTCGTCGTATTGATATTACTGAAAAAACAATTTAAAAAGCATGNTAATCTTTTGTTCTGTATTTTCTGTGCGTCTCTATATGTTTAGTAAGATGATCTCGACGGTGGAATATTTTGCTACAAATATCGCAAATAAATTTATGATTCCGACAACTATGAGCTTTTAGCCCTTTTTCTGACTTGTAAACTTGCTTACATGATGTACAGGAGAATTTTTTATCTTCATGAATTTTCATTATATGGCGTTGTAATGAGGATTTAAGGACGTAAGAAGATTTACAAATTTGACATTGAAAATCCTTTGATTTATGTTCTCTTTGCTTGTTCAAATCTTTAGCAACTCCATTTCGACTGTTTGAATGTACTCTCCTGCAATGCCGCTGGACTCCAATTACATTCTTAAATTGCTTTCCACAAACATCACAAGGAAAAAATTGTTGACCTCTCTGAATAATATCTCGGGACTTGAGAATTTGATTTCCATCTTCCACTTCACAAGTTGCTTCTTCAATTTCAATTTTGATCGAATTTTCGTGTATGCTCGCAAGTTCCTCATCATTGTTGTCATTTTTCATACTTCTGAACCTTTCAAAACAGTTATTTGAATTGCTTTCACATCTTGAGCACACGAATTCTGATCCTTTTCCATCTATTGACATGTTAACTTGAAAGACAGCATGAATCTTGTTTATCATGTCATTTGTAAGATATATTTTTGGCTCTTGATGGTATACTTCCTTGAAACACAAACGGCATTTCTGATGAATGTTTTTGAAGTCAGAGAAAATATCTTCAAGGACGACTTTGACATTCAAATCATGTTTTCTCAAGTTTTCCATGTTGCTTCCTAGCAAGTCTTGTTAAAAAATTAAAACTTATATCAGGTTGATTGAAGATTCGATTTGAAGGGATTTGATTTTGTATTTTCAATTTTATTACTGTAGGAAAAACGATAAATTTTAAAAAGTGCTAACAAATTTCTATAACTTTAAAACGAACCTTTTTCCGCTTTTATTTCGTCAACTGTAAATACTTATATGTAAGCTAAACGTATTCAGAAGCTTTTAAAACATGAATTAACAAATTTTCACTCTTAAATCTTTACAGAATTTAATAAACTGTTGGAAATTAAAAAACTGGTTTAACTTTCATGAGAAATTACATGTAAACTAACAACTGCGACCTCTAACGTGTTAGGTAATAAGTACAAAGTTTCAAATCATGGACACACCAACGAGAATATTAATATTTAAGCTTTTTTATAATGTCTGACTGTCGTTATATGCCGTATCAAAAGAATGTATTCTCGCTATTTCCATGACCAAATCTGCAATGCACCTAATAAACTTTTTCCTCTTGAAAATAAAATTTTTGAACGCACTTTTTTTAAAAAAAAACCTTAAATAAGGTTTTTTAAGACGGTCCCATTCAATTATAAAAAGGTTCTTCGTATTGAAATTACTGAAAAAAACAAATAAAAAAGCATGAACCGTCGAGGAAATTATGGCCTAACAAGATTTAAGATTTCAGGTAGCTGACAAACAAATTGACACAAAAATATAGCACTTATTACAATAATTAATCTAAAAGTGAGTGAACACTTCCTGAAGTGTTTGAAATCCGATTGCAATTTTCATTCGAAAATAAAACTTTTTGATCAGCTAAGAAAAAAAAGTTTTCTTAGATCCAGCGTTAAATCTTTTATTTGTTCAATTTGAACTTTTCGACAATACCTAATAAGTTTAATGAGTTTCATCGTTACACTTTTTATACTTGTCCAGTTTGAACTTCAATGTACTTTACTCAATAATAACTTCTTTTTCTGTTTTGTGGATTCTTAATTGATGCTATCGATCCCAATAAATCTTCCGAGATTCTAAGTGTTTTGTTCGCATTTGAATAATTTCCAGTTATTTGGTAGACAAATTTAATTCTTTATTATTAAGGTAGTTAAGAAAATACACATAAAATGCATTTGTACCGTATAGTTCATAACATCAGATCTGCAACGCGGCTGAAAAAGAAAAATGTTGGACGAAAATTAATCCGTTAAACTGAAATCTCTGCAAGAATTAGGTAGTTTTCCTGTTACTGAAATTTGTTTCCTAAAAAAAATTATTTGCAATAAAGTATACATTGATCGTATTTTTAGAAAGATGAGCGAGTGTCATTTAATTATTCGATGATTACTAACTTCATTGATATTCTTTAGATTTACTATGGAAAAGTGAATTTTAATTTATTTCTGTTAGATACAATTTTAATACAATTTCTTTTCTACATAGGTGAGAACACAACTTTCTCTTATAAAGCTTCTCGATGCCATATGTATAAGCAGAAGGATAGGTACCTAATTGGGAAGAGATTTGTGGTGACTTGCATGCCGTCAGAATTATTGGACAAACAGGAGGTTTCCCAAAGTCATCGAAAGAGAGTTTGAAGCGAAGTCTTCAATGTGTGCTCCAGAAAAGTAAAGAATTTGCTGTTGAAGGTAAGTTTTAAATTATTTTGTTAAAATAACTTGTTCCAAATGAAATTTTCTTTGACAGAAGAATCGCCGCCGAAGAAACGAAAAATAGATGGCGCTCCATGCAGTAAGAATGTTGACAAAAGTATTTCCACCTCAACCGACGAGAAAAATGAACAAGTGACGAATGCATCAAACGACAATATGAAAATTGAAGAATCATCAAACGAATGTGAAAAAGGTACAAAAGAAAATGAAAATTCAGCAACAACATCATTAGCTCAAACCAAGGCTCAAACAACAAACGTAACATCAATTTTGACAATTTCATGAAACGATCTTATCAAGGACATTGAGAGTCACATTGAAATAATTTATGAATGCTTAGATGAACTGAATGAAGCATCAGTAAATACAACAGGATCAAATTCAACGTCGTCTAATAAAACGATAACAAATGATACCATTTTGATATCATCGGAAACATCAAGTCAAGAAAACATCGAAACTGCCAATGAAAGTGCAGAAATTGGCGATGTTAAGTCGAATGATCCAACAGCAGCCCAGAATGAGTCTAAAAACGAATAAATTGAAGCTTAATTAATGGAAATGTTTTGAAATGAAAAGGAAATTAATGTTAAAACGAATTTATTGAACACAAGTTATTGTATGTTTGGTTCTAAAATCGACTCTCGATATCATCATCTTTTGAGTCATCTTAAGAATTATTGAGTATTTGTTAAGATGTCAGATCCAATTTTTTTTAATTAATTAATAAAATTGATGTTTTAAATCCTACAAGAAGAACTTTTTATTTCTTAAACAATAATGAAATTACATTTTTTTCTTTCATACTAAAATTAAACTTGTTGGTGAAGAAAATCTAAATACAAAAATATTTTCCACACTTGTTGAGTCTTCGAATCTATCAAATCTTTCTGTTAATCTGAAACGATTTCCTTAATTCAATTTTATGAAGCTTTGAAAATATTAACATGCAAATATGAATAAAGCATTCTTTTCTGAATGATGTAAAGGCTTAGTTTTCTCCATGACTTTGTTTTATATGCCTTTTTAATCCTGCCCTATGGAAGTAGCTTTTCTCACACATGTTGCATTTAAATTCTTTTGTTTTAGATTTCATACACCTGATTATGTGTTTAATAAATTTGAATCGGTTGTGGAATATTTTACCACAAGCATCGCAGACAAATGTGATATAAATACAATTGTGAGATTTCAAATCTTTTTGGAACTTGAATGTCTTTCGACATGATGCACATGAAAACTTTCTTTCTTCATGAAATTTTGATATATGTAATCGAAACCCAACTTGATTATAGTAAGAAGTTTCACAGATATCGCAATGATAGTCTCTCGTTCGATATTTTCTGTGCGCTTCTAAGTGAGCAGCAAGACCGATTCGGTTTTGGTATCTTTTACCACAAATATCGCATATAAATTTATAATACCGACAGCAATGAGCTTTTAGATTTTCCTCTGATTTGTAAACTTGTTTACATGATGCACAGTAAATTTTTTTATCTTCATGAATTTGCATTATATGGCGTTGCAATGAGGCCTTACGGAGGTAAGATTTTGTACAAATGTGACATTGATAAGCTGTTGTCATTTGTTTTCTATGCTTGATCATGTGAACTAAAATACTGCTTCGACTATGAAATCTTATACCACAAATATCACAAACAAATGTGGAATTACTACAAATATGAGATTTCAATGTTTGTTCCGTTAAGAATGTTTTTCTACATGATACACATGAAAACTTTCTTTCTTCATGAAATTTTGATATATGTAGTCGTAACCCAACTTGATTATAGTAAGAAGTTTTACAAATATCGCAATGATAGTCTCTCGTTCGATATTTTCTGTGCGCTTCTAAGTGAGCAGCAAGACCGATTCGGTTTTGGTATCTTTTACCACAAATATCGCATATAAATTTGTAATACCGACAGCAANATCATCTTTTGAGTCATCTTAAGAATTATTGAGTATTTGTTAAGATGTCAGATCCAATTTTTTTTAATTAATTAATAAAATTGATGTTTTAAATCCTACAAGAAGAACTTTTTATTTCTTAAACAATAATGAAATTACATTTTTTTCTTTCATACTAAAATTAAACTTGTTGGTGAAGAAAATCTAAATACAAAAATATTTTCCACACTTGTTGAGTTTTCAAATCTATCAACTCTTTCTCTTAATCTGATCACTTTCCTTAATTCAATTTGCTGAAGTTTTGAAAATATTCATATGCAAGTAGGAATGTTCAGTAATTTCCATATGATGTAAAGCTTATTTTTCTCCATGACTTTGACGTATATGCTTTCTCATATCTCGTCTATGGAAGTAGTTTTTTTCACACTTGTTGCATTTAAAATTTCTTGTCCTATATTTCCTATGTTTCATCATGTGATCAATGATATACGTTCGACGGTAGAATATTTTACCACAAAAATCGCAGAAATATGTGCTACAATTATGAGATTTCAATATTCGTTCCAACTTGAATGATTTTCGGCATGATGCACATGAAAACTTTCTTTCTTCATGAAATTTTGATCTATGAACTCGAAACCCAGCTTTGTTATAGAAAGAAGTTTTACAAATATCGCAATGATAGTCTCTTGTTCTATATTTTCTGTGCCTGTCTATATGTTTAGCAAGGCAGTATCGGTTGTTGAATCTCATACCACAAATATCACATGCAAAATTGGAAATACTACAAATGTGAGATTTCAATTTCTGTTCCAATTTGAATGTTTTTCGACATGATGGGCATGAAAACTTTCTTTCTTCATGATATCTTGTTCTATGTCCTTGAAACCCAGATAGGTTATAGAAAGAAGTTTTACAAATATCGCAATGATAGTCTTTTGTTCTATATTTTCTGTGCGTGTCTATGTGAATAGCAAGACCGGATCGGTCGTGGCATCTTTTACCACAAATATCGCAAATTAATTTATTATACCGACAACTGTGAGCTTTTAAACTTTCTTCTGACATGTAAACTTGTTTACATGTTGTACAGGAATAATTTTTATCTTCATGAATGTTCAAAATGTGGCGTTGCAACGAGATCTTATTGAAGTAAGATTTTGAACAAATGTGACATTGAAAATCCTTTGATCTATGTTTTCTATGCTTGATCATGTGCAAAGCAATGTCACATCGACTGCGAATTATTTTACCGCAAACGTCACAAACGAATTTCTTGTTACCACAACTATGAGATTTCATATTTTCTTCTGATTTGAAACCTTTTTTGCATAAATTGCAGAAAAACTTTTTAATTTGATGATTTTGAAATAGATGTTCATTTAATGATAGCTTACGAGGGTAGGAATTTTCACAAATGAAACACTGATAGTCTCTTGTTTGATATTTCCTATGCTTGATCATGTGCAAAATGATATGCGCTCGATTGTAGAATATTTTACCACAAATATCGCAAACAAATGTGGTTTTAATACAATTATGAGATTTCAAGTTTCTTTCGAATTTGAATGTTCTTCGACATGATGCACATGAAAACTTTCTTTCTGCATGAAATTTCCATGAATGAAATCGTAACCTAATTTTATTATAGAAAGAAGTTTCACAGATATTGCAATGATAATCTTTTGTTTTATATTTTCTGTGAGTCTCTATATGTATAGAAAGATTATATCGGCCGTTGAATCTTTTACCACAAATATCGCAAACAAATTTCAAATTGCTACAAAAATGAGTTTTAAGACCTTCTTCTGATTTGTAAACTTGTTTACATGTTGAACAGAAAAATTTTTTATCTTCATGAATTTTCTTTATATGAAGTTTTAATGCGACCTTATTGAAGAAAGAAGATTTACAAATGTGACATTTATAATCTCTTGGTCTATCTTTTCTGTGCGTCTCCATATGTCCAGTAAGATGATCTCGACGGTGGAATATTTTACCACAAATATCACAATCAAATATTGGATTTTGATTACCACAAATGTGAGATTTCAATGATCGTTCCAACAGGAATGATTTTCTGCATGATGTACATGAAAACTTTCTTTCTTCATGATATTTTGATACATGTCTATGTAACCCAAATTTATTAAAGAAAGAAGTTTTACAAATGTGACATTGATAATCTTTTGATCTATGTATTCTGTGCGTGTCTAAGTGTTCAGCAAGAATATTTCGTCCGTGGAATTTTTTACCACAAATATCGCAAGCAAATGTGGGATCACTACAAATATGAGATTTCAATGATCGTCCCAACATAAATGATTTTCTGCATGACGTACATGAAAACTTTCTTCCTTTATGATATTTTGATATATGACTTTGAAGCCCACCTTTGTTATAGAAGGAAGTTTTACAGATATGACAATGATAATCTTTTGTTCTGTATTTTCTGTGCGTCTCTATATGTTTAGTAAGATGATCTCGACGGTGGAATATTTTGCTACAAATATCGCAAATAAATTTATGATTCCGACAACTATGAGCTTTTAGCCCTTTTTCTGACTTGTAAACTTGCTTACATGATGTACAGGAGAATTTTTTATCTTCATGAATTTTCATTATATGGCGTTGTAATGAGGATTTAAGGACGTAAGAAGATTTACAAATTTGACATTGAAAATCCTTTGATTTATGTTCTCTTTGCTTGTTCAAATCTTTAGCAACTCCATTTCGACTGTTTGAATGTACTCTCCTGCAATGCCGCTGGACTCCAATTACATTCTTAAATTGCTTTCCACAAACATCACAAGGAAAAAATTGTTGACCTCTCTGAATAATATCTCGGGACTTGAGAATTTGATTTCCATCTTCCACTTCACAAGTTGCTTCTTCAATTTCAATTTTGATCGAATTTTCGTGTATGCTCGCAAGTTCCTCATCATTGTTGTCATTTTTCATACTTCTGAACCTTTCAAAACAGTTATTTGAATTGCTTTCACATCTTGAGCACACGAATTCTGATCCTTTTCCATCTATTGACATGTTAACTTGAAAGACAGCATGAATCTTGTTTATCATGTCATTTGTAAGATATATTTTTGGCTCTTGATGGTATACTTCCTTGAAACACAAACGGCATTTCTGATGAATGTTTTTGAAGTCAGAGAAAATATCTTCAAGGACGACTTTGACATTCAAATCATGTTTTCTCAAGTTTTCCATGTTGCTTCCTAGCAAGTCTTGTTAAAAAATTAAAACTTATATCAGGTTGATTGAAGATTCGATTTGAAGGGATTTGATTTTGTATTTTCAATTTTATTACTGTAGGAAAAACGATAAATTTTAAAAAGTGCTAACAAATTTCTATAACTTTAAAACGAACCTTTTTCCGCTTTTATTTCGTCAACTGTAAATACTTATATGTAAGCTAAACGTATTCAGAAGCTTTTAAAACATGAATTAACAAATTTTCACTCTTAAATCTTTACAGAATTTAATAAACTGTTGGAAATTAAAAAACTGGTTTAACTTTCATGAGAAATTACATGTAAACTAACAACTGCGACCTCTAACGTGTTAGGTAATAAGTACAAAGTTTCAAATCATGGACACACCAACGAGAACTTTCCTATTTAAGCTTCTTTATAATGTCTTACTGTCGTTATATGCCGTATCAAAAGAATGTATTCTCGCTATTTCCATGGCCAAATTTACAATGCACCTTATAAATTTTTCTTCTCGAAAATTGAATTTTTGAACGCACTTTTTTTTAAAAAAAACCTTAAATGAGGTTTTTTACGACAGTCCCATTCAATTATAAAAAGCTATATTTTTGGGTCAATTTGTATGGCAGCTACCTGAAATCTTAAATCTTGATAGGCCATGTTTTCTCGACGGTTCATGCTTTTTAAATTGTTTTTTCAGTAATATCAATACGACGACCTATTGATATTACTGAAAAAACAATTTAAAAAGCATGAACCGTCGAGAAAACATGGCCTATCAAGATTTAAGATTTCAGGTAGCTGCCATACAAATTGACCCAAAAATATAGCACTTCGAAATTCGATTGAAATTTTCATTCGAAGATAAACACTTTTGATTAGCTAAGAAAAAAAGTTTTATTAGATCCAGCGTTACATTTTTTATTTATTCATTTTGAACTTTTCGATTTACAAATCTTTTGTCTTGTAATAAATTTTGTTGACAGAAAAAAGTTTCTAAAAATAAAAACATTTTTGATTTATCATCTTTTGAGTCATCTTAAGAATTATTGAGTATTTTTGAAGATGTCCGATCCAAATTATTTTAAATTAATTAATAATTAATTGATGTTTTAAATCCTACAAGAAGAACTTTTTATTTCTTAAACAATAATGAAATTACAATTTTTTCTTTTATACTAAAATTAAACTTGTTGGTGAAGAAAATCTAAATACAAAAATATTTTCCACACTTGTTGAGTCTTCGAATCTATCAAATCTTTCTGTTAATCTGAAACGATTTCCTTAATTCAATTTTATGAAGCTTTGAAAATATTAACATGCAAATATGAATAAAGCATTCTTTTCTGAATGATGTAAAGGCTTAGTTTTCTCCATGACTTTGTTTTATATGCCTTTTTAATCCTGCCCTATGGAAGTAGCTTTTCTCACACATGTTGCATTTAAATTCTTTTGTTTTAGATTTCATACACCTGATTATGTGTTTAATAAATTTGAATCGGTTGTGGAATATTTTACCACAAGCATCGCAGACAAATGTGATATAAATACAATTGTGAGATTTCAATGTTTGTTCCGTTAAGAATGTTTTTCTACATGATACACATGAAAACTTTCTTTCTTCATGAAATTTTGATATATGTAGTCGTAACCCAACTTGATTATAGTAAGAAGTTTTACAAATATCGCAATGATAGTCTCTCGTTCGATATTTTCTGTGCGCTTCTAAGTGAGCAGCAAGACCGATTCGGTTTTGGTATCTTTTACCACAAATATCGCATATAAATTTATAATACCGACAGCAATGAGCTTTTAGATTTTCCTCTGATTTGTAAACTTGTTTACATGATGCACAGTAAATTTTTTTATCTTCATGAATTTGCATTATATGGCGTTGCAATGAGGCCTTACGGAGGTAAGATTTTGTACAAATGTGACATTGATAAGCTGTTGTCATTTGTTTTCTATGCTTGATCATGTGATCTAAAATACTGCTTCGACTATGAAATCTTATACCACAAATATCACAAACAAATGTGGAATTACTACAAATATGAGATTTCAATGTTTGTTCCGTTAAGAATGTTTTTCTACATGATACACATGAAAACTTTCTTTCTTCATGAAATTTTGATATATGTAGTCGTAACCCAACTTGATTATAGTAAGAAGTTTTACAAATATCGCAATGATAGTCTCTCGTTCGATATTTTCTGTGCGCTTCTAAGTGAGCAGCAAGACCGATTCGGTTTTGGTATCTTTTACCACAAATATCGCATATAAATTTGTAATACCGACAGCAATGAGCTTTTAGATTTTCCTCTGATTTGTAAACTTGTTTACATGATGCACAGTAAATTTTTTTATCTTCATGAATTTGCATTATATGGCGTTGCAATGAGGCCTTACGGAGGTAAGATTTTGTACAAATGTGACATTGATAAGCTGTTGTCATTTGTTTTCTATGCTTGATCATGTGAACTAAAATACTGCTTCGACTATGAAATCTTATACCACAAATATCACAAACAAATGTGGAATTACTACAAATATGAGATTTCAATGTTTGTTCCGTTAAGAATGTTTTTCTACATGATACACATGAAAACTTTCTTTCTTCATGAAATTTTGATCTATGCATTCGTAACCCAACTTTATTATAGTATGAAGTTTTACAAATATCGCAATGATAGTCTTTTGTTCTATATTTTCTGTGCAATTCTATGTGATTAGAAAGACGATATCGGTCTTGGCATCTTTTACCACAAATATCGCAAATTAATTTATTATATCGACAACAATGACCTTTTAGACTTTCTTCTGACAAGTAAACTTGTTTACATGTTGTACAGGAATAATTTTTATCTTCATGAATGTTCAAAATGTGACGTTGTAGTGAAATCTTATTGAGATAAGATATTGAACAAATGTGACATTGAAAATCTTTTGATCTGTGTTTTCTATGCTTATTCATATGCAAAGCAAGGAAAAATCTTATTTGAAATCTTTTACCGCAAAAGTCACAAACGAATTTGTATTCACCACAATTATGAGATTTCAAATTTCGTTCTGACTTGAAACCTTTTTTGCATAAATTGCAAAAGACTTTTTTATTTTCGTGATATTGAAATAGATGTTCATTTAATGTTTGCTTACGACAAAAAGAATTTTCACAAATGAAACACTGATAGTCTTTTGTCTTATATTTCCTATGCTTGATCATGTGTTCAATGACATGCGCTCGACAGTACAATCTTTTACCACAAATATCGCAGACAAATGAGGTTTTAATACAATTATGAGATTTAAGGTTTCTTTCTAATTTGAATGTTCTTCGACATAATGCACATGAAAACTTTCTTTCTTCATGAAATCTCCATGAATGAAATCGTAACCTAACTTTACTGTAGAAAGAAGTTTTACAGATATCGCAATGATAATCTTTTGTTTTATATTTTCTGTGAGTCTCTATATGTATAGCAAGATTATATCGGCTGCTAAATGTTTTACCACAAATATCGCAAACAAATTTTGAATAAGAACAAATATGAGCTTTTAGGCTTTCTTCTGATTTGTAAACTCTTTTACATGATGTACAGGAAAATTTTTTAACTTCATGAATTTTGAATATGTGGTGTTTCAATGTGGACTTACGTAGGTAAGAAGATTTACAAATGTGACATTGAAAATCCTTTGCTTTATGTTCTTTACGCGAGTTTAAATGCTTAGCAACTCCATATCGACTGTTTGAATGTTCTCTCCTGCAATGTCGCTGGACTCCAACAACATTCTTAAAATCCTTTCCACAAACATCGCAAGGAAAAAGCTGTTGATCTTTCTGATTAATATCTCGGGACTTAAGAATTTGATTTTCATCTTCACAAGTTGCTTCTTCAACTTCAACTTTGATCGAATTTTCGTGAATGCTCGCAAGTCTCTCATCAGTGTTGTCAATTTTCAAATTTCTAAACTTTTCAAAACACTTTTGTTTTCCCTTTATTTGTACCCTAAACTGATAAAGATTATTTAAGTTGCTTTCACATTTTGAGCACACAAATTCTGATCCTGTTCCATCTGATGACATGTTAGCTTGCAAGGCAACATGAATCTTGTTTATCATATCATTTGTAAGATATACTTTTGGCTCTTGATTGTATACTTCCTTGAAACACAAACGGCATTTCTGATGAATGTTTTTGAAGTCAGAGAAAATATCTTCAAGGACGATTTTGACATTCAAATCATGTTTTCTCAAGTTTTTCATGTTGCTTCCTAACAGGTTGATTGAACATCCGCGTTGAAGGGATTTGGTTTTGTATTTTCAACTTTAATGCTGCAAGCAAAAGAAAAATTTTAAAAAGTGCTAACAAATTTCTGTGACTATAAAACGAACCTTTTTCCGCTTATATTTCTGCAACTGTAAATGCTTGTATGTAAACGAAACGTGTTTAGAAGCTTTTAAAACATGAATTCACAAATATTCACTATTAAATCTTTTCAGAACTTAAAAAACTGTTGGAAGTTGAAAACAAGTTTTAATGATCATGAGAAATTACATGTAAACTAACAACTGCGACCTCTAACGTGTTAGGTACTAAGTACAAAGTTTCAAATCATGGACACACCAACGAGAACTTAAATGTTTATGCTTCTTTATAATGTCTGACTGTCGTTGCATGCTATTTCCATGGCCAAATCTACAATGCACCTTACAAACTTTCCCCTCTTGAAAATCAAATTTTCGAACGCACTTTTTTAAAGAAATATGAATGAGGTGCTTTACGACGGTCCCATTCAATTATAAAAAGGGTCCTCGTATTGAAATTACTGAAAAAACAATTAAAAAAGCATGAACCGTCGAGAAAACATGGCCTATCAAGATTTAAGATTTCAGGTAGCTGACAAACAAATTGACACAAAAATATAGCACTTATTACAATATTTAATCTAAAAGTGAGTGAACACTTCCTGAAGTGTTTGAAATTCGATTGAAATTTAGATTCAAAAATAAAACTTTTGATTAGCTAAGAAAAATTTTTATAAGATCCAGCGTTACATTTTTTATATATTCAGTTTGAACTTTTCGATTTACAAATCTTTTGACTTGAAATAAATTTTGTTGACAGAAAAAAGTTTCTAATAATAAAAACATTTTTATTAATCATCTTTTGAGTCATCTTAAGAATTATTGAGTACATAGATATTTGTTAAAAGGTGAGATCCAAATTTGTTTAATTAATTAATAAAATTAATGTTTTAAATCCTACAAAAAAACTTTTAATTTCTTAAACATAAATAATTAAATTACAATTTTTTCTCTCCTTTTAAAATCAAACATATTGGTGGATAAAATCTGAATATTAAAATTTTTCTATTTTAAAATGTTTAATATTTATTCAAAAAAAAATCTTTAACTTTTTACTATGTTGCTTCCTAATTGAATACATTGATTCTAACAAATTCTCTAATATATTAACAGTTCTGTCCATATCTTTATATTTTCCAGACATTTTTTCGTGAAATTTCACATATTTTTTTATTAGTCTTCAAATGAATCAACTTCTTTTCCGAATGATGTAAAGCTTACTTTTCTCCATGACTTTGACGTATATGCCTTTTTAGTCCTGGTCCATACTTAGAAGTAGCTTTTTCACATAAGTTGCATTTATAATTTCTTGTCTTATATTTCAAACATCTGTGTTTTATAAATTTGAGTCGGTCGTGGAATATTTTATCACATGCATCACAAACAACTGTTGGAAATTAAAAAACTGGTTTAACTTTCATGAGAAATTACATGTAAACTAACAACTGCGACCTCTAACGTGTTAGGTAATAAGTACAAAGTTTCAAATCATCACACCAACGAGAACTTTGCTATTAAAGCTTCTTTATAATGTCTGACTGTCGTTATATGCCGTATCGAAAGAATACTCGCTATTTCCATGGGCAAATTTACAATGCACCTTATAAACTTTTCTCCTCGAAAATAAAATTTTTGAACGCACTTTTTAAAACAACCTTAAATGAGGTATTTTAAGACGGTCCCATTGAATTATAAAAAGGAGTTAAAAACTAGTTTCATCCGATCCACCATTACACCTTTTATTTTTCCAGTTTCAACTTATCGATACACAAACACTTTTGGTTTAGAATTAAATTTGTTGACAGGAAAAAATTTTGAAATGAAAAAAAAATTGATTAACTTCAGAATATTTACTCAATAATAACTTCTCATTTTTCTATTTTGTGGGGTTTTAATGGATGCTATCGATTTCAATAAATCTTCCAACATTGTAAGTGTTATGTTTGCATTCGAATATTTTCCAGTTATTTCACTTGTAAAATTGTTAACAGCTTCTTCCAAAACCTTTAAATCTGATATCGTATCATCTAAATCTGTTAAGTTTTTCTTTAAAATTTCATTCTCATTTTTTAATTCTGTCACAGATTTCTCGAAACTCTCTCTCATTGTCGTTATATCCTCAATGTTTACAGAATGTGTGATCAACAAATCATTCAATGTTTCATTCATGATAGCACCTAGTGGTGAACACAAAATATCAATTTTTGCAATTAATTTGTTTACATCTTCAGGCGTTTCTGCTGCATCGGTAATGCAAATGTTTCTCGACATTCGCAAAACTTTCAAATACAAAGGTTGAAAGACGTTATATGGGATCGTCTCAAGTTTATTTCCACTAAAACGGATCGCACGCAATGCTGGCGTGTAAGTGAATGCGTTCACTTCAATGGTTTCGATTTGATTTTCATGTAGCCACAAATATTCCAAATTAGGAAACTGTTGTAGTTGATTTGAATTGACTGTTTTAAGTGGATTATACGTCATGTAAAAAAGTAGAATGTTTGGAAAAAAATTGTCAATGCCGAATGGTACTTCTGTCAACCAATCATCTGTTAATCGAATAGCTTCAACATCTGCATTATTTCTACTGTTCAAATGTTCTCCATTAATGCCCGTGATGTTAGCAATATCTTCATCTCTTGGAAGTGAGCCTAAGCAAATATAAAAGTTTTTCGATCCAATTGAAGCACCCATTGCATATCTTTTTATTTGAAAGTCACAAGTGATTTCAGCTGATTTAGAAGACTGGAAGAAATGATCCCAAATAAACAGGAACAAAATCATAGCGAAGACGTTTTTCCTGAAGGATATTTCAAATGAAAATTAAAATGAAGACAACTTATAAAATATATTCACATTATGAACAGGTTCACCAGTTCCACTTTTGAAGCACAAACTCAAAATGCTGAATGTATGTTGTCGTTGAAACCTTTTATATCAGTATGATTGAGAGCACTATCAATTTAAGGTTCAAAATAAGTATGTAATAATTTTTTATTATAGATAAGAATGTGTATTTTCTTTTCAAGCTTTAAGTGGATGTTTACATATTTATCTATAAGTATTTGTAGAATTTTTTATTTAAATATGTTTTGTTCATACTTCTTCGATGTTTTTAATTAATGTTATAGAAGCCTGATGAGGATGGCAAAATAGTCATCGAAACGTAGCACTAAACCTGGCTGAAAGCCAATTTATTTCCCTTTAAGGTATACAAATCATAATTCAGTCGACTTGAGCTTTCAAACTAAGTTCAAAAGAACTTAAAATAGCCAATAAAAATTATTTTTCCCACCCATAATTCTGTCAGACCAAAAGTGTACAGTCAACAAAGGATTAATTATAGCATGGAACGTTATTTTTGAATTACCTCACCTTTTCTTATCACCGTTCCGATAATTTTTGATCGAGTGCTGAAAGATTTTTTTTTCAAATTCCCTGGAAAAGTTTTAGGCTGAAAAATAAGTAATAAAAAATAAAATTTTCTTTGAATATTTGTAATTTATTGCAGACTTTCAGGAAGAAATAGAAGAAAACAGATGAAAAGTACTTCTGATAATTTTTTTGACATTCTACAAAAAGCACAGAGAGAATTTCTTTGGATCAGGCTTCACTTAATCGCGCACAAAAATTTCGAGTTATGCTGCCTTCATTTAAAGGTATTGAAATAGACTTAACTATTTTTAACACGGAATTTATTTTTTCATTCACAACCTCATAATCTATGTAAATGTCGTTCCTAGAATTTTCAATTGCTTCTGCCAAATTAAGATTTATCACTTCTCTCTCAATGTCTAAAACTTTATCCTTTAAAGTTTTGTTTTCATCTTGAAAATTTTCAATGGACTTATCCAAGTCGTTTTGTGTTGGAATCATCTCAAGACTACTAAGCCTCAAATCTTCATTAATAATATCACGTAATGGTGAACATAATACATCTATCTTTGCAATTAATCGGTTCACTGTTTGAGGCAAAACTGCTAATTCGTTACCGCAATTATTTCCCGTCATATCCAAAACTTCCAAATGCAAGGGTCGAAAGATGTTGTATGCAAGTAAAGAAATTTTATTAGTATGTAAATTGATCACACGTAATGATGGTGTACGAGAGAATGCGTTCACTTCAATGGTTTCGATCTGATTTTTATGTAGCCACAAATACTCCAAATTAGGGAATTGTTGTAGTTGATTCGAATTGACTGTTTTTAGTTGAGTTTCCCTGATATATAAGAATTCAATGTTTGGAAAAAAGTTGTCAATGCCGGATGGTACTTCGGTCAACCAATCATCGGTTAATCGAATAGCTTCAACATCTGAATGAGTTCTACTGTCCGAATGTTCTCCATTAATGCCCGTGATGTTAGCAATACCTTCATCCTTTAGAAGTGACGCTAGGCAAATATAAAAGTTTTTCGATCCAATTGAACCACCCATTAGAAATCCGGTTGTATGAAAGTCACAAATGATTTCTGCTGATTCGGAAAACTGGAGAATATTAACCGAAATAAACAGCAACAAAGTTATACCGAACACGTTTTTCCTGAAAATATTATAAATAAAAATTTAATTGAAGAAAATCTAAGAAACACTCACATTATAAACGTACTCACAAAGTTCCACTTTTGAAGCACAAACTCAAAATGCTGATTGAATGATGTTCGTTCATACCTTTTTATCAGAAATTTATCATACATTCAGTTTAAGGTGCAAAATGAGTATTTAATTTATTACATATAAGAATTTTTATTTTCGTTCTGAGCTTAAGTAGATATTTACGGCTTTTATAAGATATATGACTTCGTACCTAATAAGACGTACTTGTGGAAATCAAACAAGTTCTTATAAAATTCTGTTCATACCAGATTTTTTAGCTTCACTTTTTGCAAGTGAACGTTTCAATATCATCAATATACATACAGTTCCGATTTTAAAATTAAAGACGATGTAAATATTTTTTTAAAATGTTTCTAACTTTTTTCCGATCATTACTGATCGTACTGAAACGTTACACTGTACTTGAAATGTTCAAAGTCAGAATAATGCATATCAGTGATAAACTAAGAAGCATACCATAATACCTATATATAATAAATAATAATAAATTTGATAAGAGATATCGATATATTTTATGAGTCATAAATTATGACTTGTTTAAATAAAAAAATAAACGAACCATAATTCTTCCAGAACATAAGTGTTTAGCTAATAAAGGATTAGTTTTCGCATGGAACGTTATCATTGGACTTCCTCATTTTTTTTAATCACCACTCCTATAACTTTGAGCGAATTTTTTAAGAAAATTTGTTTTCAAATTCTTATGAAAAGTTTAACACTCAACAGGGTCGGAAACAGAAGCGTGAAGCTTTTAGAAGAACATCGTTAAGCTTCCGACCCCTGTCACTGAAAAATTATGAAAAAAGTACTTCTTTCAAATACATAGATATTTATAATTTATTCATCGTAGATTTGCAACAAAAAATATAAATGGATATAGACGAACCAGCAATCAAATAATTTCTTAACAGTTTACAAAAAGGCCAAAACATTTTTTTGAATTAGATTTCACTTCTTCGAGAACAATAATCTCGTGTTATGCTGCCTTTATTTAGAGGTATCGAAATTGTGTTAACAATTTCTTCCATAGAATTTATTCTTTTATTAACATTCTCGTGTTCTTTATCCATTTCAATTTTAAAATTTTCTAGATTTNATCGAAATATTTTACGAGTTGTTTAAATAAAAATATTTAAACAAACCATATGTCATAACAAAACTCTGTCATAACAAAAGTGTTTAGTCAACAATGGAAAACCTCAATGTTTTTACCACCACTCCTATAACTTTTGAGCGAATTCTTTAAGAAATTTTTTTTTCAAATTCTCAGGAAAATTTTAACACTGAAAATTGCATATAAATAAGAATTTCTTTTGCATTTTTATTATTTATCCATCATAGCTTTTCAGGAAATGTTAAACAGAAATAGACGAAGCAGCAATCAAATAAAATCTTAACAGTTCAGAAAAAATATAAAACATTTCTTTGAGTTAGCCTTCACTCCTTCGAGAACAATAATCTCGTGTTATGCTGCCTTTATTTAGAGGTATTGCAATTTTATTGACTATTTCTTCCATAGAATTTATTCTTTTATTAACATTCTCGTGTTCTTTATCCATTTCAATTTTAAAATTTTCTAGATTTTCCACCAAATTTGGATCTTTCAATAGCAAATCTGTCACATCTCCTTCCATTTCTAAAACTTCATCATTCATAATTTTAGTTTCTACTTGCAAATCTGTTATTGCTTTAACCAAGTCATTTTGTTTTGGCATTATCTCATCATTAATATGTTTCGAGGTTTGAATGGTATCACCTAATGGTGAACATAAAATATAAATTTTTGCTATTAATTTGTTCACATCTTCAGGCGTTTCTGCTGCATCGTTAATGCAGATGTTTCTCGACATTCGCAAAACTTTCAAATACAAAGGTTGAAATGCGTTGTATGGGATCGTCTTAAACTTATTCCCACTCAAACGAATTGCACGCAATGCTGGCGTGTAAGTAAATGCGTTCACTTCAATGGTTTCGATTTGATTTTGATGTAGCCACAAATATTCCAAATTAGGAAACTGTTGTAGTTGATTTGAATTGACTGCTTTAAGTGGATTATCCCTCATGAAAAAGAAATGAATGTTTGGAAAAAAGTGGTCAAAGCAGGATGGTATTTCCGTCAACCAATCATCTGTCAATCGAATAGCTTCAACATCTGCATTATTTCTGCTGCCCAAATGTTCTCCATTAATGCCCGTGATGTTAGCAATATCTTCATCTCTTGGAAGTGACCCATTGAAAATATAAAAGTATTTCCATCCAATTGAATCACCCATGAAATGTCCGAATATTTGAAAGTCACAAGTGATTTCAGCTGATTTGGAAGACTGGAAGAGATTAGCCCAAATAAACAGTAACAAAATCATAGCGAAGACGTTTTTCCTAAAAAATATTTCAAATGAAAATTAAAATGAAGAAAACTTATAAAATATATTCACAATTATGAATAGGTTCATCAAGTTTACCTTTTGAATTGCAAACTCAGAATGATAAGCGAATGTTGTTCGCTTAAGCCTTTTAAATCAAAAATGCTTAGCTCTCAATCAGTTAACGTAATAAAATTTTATAGCATTAAAAGATATACGACAGTCTTATCAAAAAAAGAGCTTTAAAAGATATGATTTCAAAGTTTATTGAGTTATAGAAGTCGTTAATTAATTGCTGTTATGTTTGATATTTGTCTTAAAAACTTTTTCATGTGTTAACATGAGTTTTCACAAGCTTCAATATATTTTCCAATTCATTAATCCTCTCTTCCATAGTCGCGACTTGATCACGTAAATCTCTCAAATTGTATTCAAAAGCAACCTGACTGTTTGACAATTCATAAATGCGAACCCTCAAATCTTCATCAATCATATCACCCAAAGGTGAATGTTTTGATGTTGACTAAATGTTTGATGTTTAGTGGACTGTTTATGTATGAATGAAAGATCTTGTGACTTGTGTTGAATCCAAATGATTTTATTTGAATGTTACAATTTTATGTTTTTAAACCCAAATGAAAACGCCTAAAATTATTATTCATTACAAAATTAGTTGATGAATAAAGAAAATAATTAATAAAAAATACCTGGATTCGGCGTTTCAACTTATATCAATTTGAGTTTTCTGATGAATTTACAGTTTTGATGATTCTATA